TTCGACCTCTTACCGTCTCGATTCTCGGTTTTTGACCTCTTGCGGTCTCAATTCTCGGTTTTCGACCTCAGCGGTATCGACTCTCGGTTTTCGACCTCTTGCGATCTCGATTCTCAGTTTTCGACCTCTTGCGGTCTCGATTCTCGGTTTTCGACCTCAGCGGTATCGACTCTCGGTTTTCGACCTCTTGCGGTCTCGATTCTCGGTTTTTATACCTCTTGCGGTCTCGATCCTCGGTTTTCGACCTCAACGGTCTCGAATCTCGGTTTTCGACCTCTGGCGGTCTCGACTCTCGGTTTTCGACCTCAGCGGTCTCAATTCTCGGTTTTCGACCTCAGCGGAATCGATTCTCGGTTTTTGACCTCAGTGGTCTCGACTCTCAGTTTCGGCTCTCGGGTTTCGACCTCAGCGGTCTCAATTCTTGGTTTTCGACCTCAGCGGTCCCGACTCCCGATTTTCGACCCCGACGTTAGATCATTCTATTTCCGACCTCCGTGGTCTTTCGATTTTTGATCTTGAGATCTCAAAGCTCACTCGAAGGATATTTCAGTGATTATTCAATGGTCATTCGACTTCTGATGCTCGATCTTAGTGGCAAATTGAAGAAAACAACTCGAAGAGGCATTTCACTCTTGGATCGAGTTATGCTTACTCGACCAGAGTGGGGGGGACTAGATGATATAGGATATTATGCTGGACCCGGTTTAATGGATAAAGCGGATACATATTGGAAGATAAGCCCACTAAGACGTCTAAGCCCAACAATATGGGCCAAGCTCAACTTGAGCCCACAAAGGTACACTCCCCCTATAAAAGGGGGGCCAAGGTACCTCATTCTCATCTCTCTCTATTCATTACATTACTACACTTTATATCTCTCTTGATCCGAGCACTGACTTAGGCATCGGAGGCCCGACGCCGGGGCCACCCGGCGTTGGGTTCTGCAGGTACGGAGGCCGGTTCGAGTTGAAGGAGCCCGGGTGAATCTTATTCACTTCAGTGTGTATTATAGATTGTATTTATTCCATTTGATTTAACATTTTTGCTTGTAGAATATATTCTCGTCTTCTTGTGTTGATATTTCTTTCTTCATTAGTGATTAGAGTTGCTAAAAATGATTACATAATTAGTCATACCATTGATTATCTTTGCTTGGCAGAGTAGTAGCTTAGCCCAAAGATACCCTGGATTAATGTCTTTGAGAAGTGTAGACCTCTCGCCAGCTAGTTGGATGGCAGTTGCCTGGTGTGTGTTTCTCTACTACTTTAATCGTTGATTTCCATGTTGAATCAATAAATTCACAACATTCAGGTACCCCAATTTACCATATTCCTTATAGTACCCAATTTACCATATTCCCTCCACTTATCCATATTTTGAGTGGTAATGCTAGGGGTTTGTATTATTATCGTTTGAGAAAAAGAATAACTTCAGGGGTTTGCAATGGGCCAACGCCAACCGGATTCAAATGTCGAGCTCTATTGCTTTGACAGACTAGGCAAGCTGCCACGTACTCTCTAATCCTTGGCTTCATTCTCTTCCAATAAAATTCATTTTGTACTCAGTGCTATGTTTTTTTGGATATCTTGATGGGTGTTGTCATGAATATTAGAATAAACTAAGCATAATCCATGAAAAAGGTAGACATAACCTTTGTACAGAAATAAACTACCATGGGGGACCAAGGAGCACAAAGTCGCCTTGTTGGTTTAGTGCCTTGATGGTTTAGTGTGATTAATTGCTAGAGATGATTAGCGGCATGCATTTCATCCAGAGAATCTCTATGTTTTATAGTCTGAGGTTAGGAGATGGAATAGAAAGTTGTGTCCTCGTTAAGTTGACTAGAGTGTATCTGCTGCGCGATTGAGAATATATACCTTGTATTTAATTAGTTGTAAGTAACTTTCCACCAATCAAAAGTATATCCGCATGAAAATCATTCTCCATATATGTTTTCCTCATGAATCTTTGAATAACATTCTACTTTTGATCCTTGACTTGCAGATGTATTTTTTGTATTGCCTCGGATCAATTATTTTTGAAGTTGCTACTGTTTACACTTGGTTTATTACTACTTCTTTTATCCTCTTAAGACAAATGTCACGCGGTTCAATAAAACATAATCACTGTTGTAGGAAAGTAAAGAGTGCTGTTATTTTATTGGTTTTCATACAGATCGACGTTATTCTATTGATTGGTTGTCACACTTCATTTGAGGCATTAGGACTATCTTTTTGGGATGCTTTAAATTGAAATGTGGTCTGAACTTCTGGGATGGAGGAAATATTGGACTGGTGTTGTTGAACTGTTCCATGTAACTATCTCTTTTACGTGCGTCACTAGTATGATGAACACATAGTTGATGAATTATTCTTTTCTGTTAACTCAATCATTTTTTCTTTATTGAACAAAATTCTAAATTTATATATATGACAGATACACGGGTCATGTTTTCTGAAGCACTACATTTGTTACAAAGTTGAGAGAGATGAAGACTAATGACAATATGCTGCTATTTAGATGTGAACTTGGTGCAGGACATTTTTCAAAATCTGTACGGTAAGAATGTCAAATCCTTTGATTGAGAGAAAAATACTTTCTGTTTTCCTAAGATATGTATTTTTCCATATTGTCAACCAGATTATTATTTTAAGCTCATTTTTTTGTCATTCTATTATGCACTCATTTTTTGGTATTTTGGTTAGACTCTAATTAATAATATTATATTTTGTAGTACTTAACTCGTTACAAGTGCGTTCAATTATCTGAGGAGCAAGTAAAGGATGGTTGGAAAGAATCGAAACAATATGTTCTTCAGTTTTGTAAGGTAAAAACTTTACTAGTATCGTTTTGTTTGTTGCTATTGTGTTTAGCATATAAATGATGGGCATGTGGTAACCGAGCTACCCGACTCGGGTCG